GATTCCATCAAACTTTCAGCATCAATAACAGTTGCAGGAGCCAATGAACGAAGTCTGGAGGAGTTCCAGTGACCAATAGCGGCTCTCCATTGAGATATATCAATCATGGCTACCTTAAGTAAGTAAACAAAGTTAAGGGCGGGGCTCATCTCAAAGGGCGTGGCTCATTAACTTAAAAGTGTGAACAATTCGTAAAAAGCTCACAAATTAAATTCCCTTAGAGCAAAAGTAATATTAATAATCATGATCAAAACAACAAAAATTAATGATAACTTTTAAAAATACACACACACAATTAATAGTGAATAGTCAGAAGGTTAGACAGGAGTATCCATTTGTGGTTGTAGTGTGTTCATTTGTTCCAATATGAATCCAATAGTGTGCTGACGTATAGTGGCAATGTATCCATTCAATTGCTGTATCTTAGCATTAGCCTCTGCCAGTTTACCAAGGAGCTCAGAATTCTCTGCTGATAGTGCATCTCTTGCCTAGTAAAGAATCAAACAGTACAATAATGAATATGTGTACAGTGAGTTGTACATGTACATATGTAGTTATAAGTGTCTAGTGGTATGTTCTTACTGATTCAGCTCTCCTCAGTCTTTCCTTCAGTGACAGTTCATCATTCACATCATACTCACCATTACTGGTTGAGGCTACTGCAGTATAACGCCTTGCACGCTCTATCAGTACAAATAACAATCAATTCCACAATACATTATTATTATTGTTATTATTATTGTTGTTGTTGTTATTATTATTATTATTATTATTCTTATTATTATTATTATTTATTATTATTTTTATTATTATTATTATTGGTTACTTTTCTTTTCGGTGTGTTTGCTGCAATCAACCACAACATAGTCTTTACAGTGTTTGTGACAACTGATACCACAATCCTTACAACGAACACCTTGACGGACTATACCTTTTAACTGGAAAGAGAGAGAGAGGAGGAGGAGAAAAAAGTGTCACACAAAAATAAAAATTCTTAACTATCAAAATTATGACACTATTAGCAAGCTTTCTAACAAACTATAAAATTATTTTTTATCAGAATGAGTTTAAGCTTTTACACAACGTAAGAACATGTACATGTATGTGGTCATCAAAAAAGTATTCTATAAAGCCATTTTTGACTGAGCTGATTCCAATCTAAATTGAATTTTTTTTGAAATTTTTAAGTCGCTCTAAAATTAGACTAAAGACTGACTCACCACTCCTTTGCAGTGCTGGCAGTATTGTGTACCAATGAACGTGTGCTCTACAAAATTGTGCTTGAAACTCTCTCTCAGTGAAGTATTGGCACTAAGAAAATAATCCATCATCTCATCTCTACTGATAACACCATCTCTACAATAGAAACAGAAACATATAAACTCATTTATCATTAACAGTATAACTGTAATATGCACTCACAGACACAAGAGAAGCTAAAATAATTAGATATACATTGGCTAAATATTAGTACTAGAGTTTAAAAAAGTGAGCTATTTTGATTTCCATCAGTTTAAGCTTGTGGTTGCATGATTACAATGTACAGTGTACATGTATATACATGTAAGTAATACCAAGAGTGTATAATACTTACTTGTCTCTGTCTAGTACTG